CGGAAAAGAAAAGGAACTAAATATACCATGGTTTTATATGATACATGTTTAATTTCATAAGGAATTTTACTCATCCCTTTGATCCGTAGACTTCATCTTTCATCTACATCACCCGTTAATAATCCCAACATTAGCTCTCGATTAATACTTATTAATTACTACTCTTATAAATCGATCTCACACGCCCATTGAAAGGAGCGAGAAGAATATAACTACTTGACTACTTTAGATACATGACGCGATTTTTAAGGGGAGATAAAAGATGAGGTTACAAAGATAACTTGGTTGGGTTCAAATTTTTTTATCGGTTTATTCATTTGTTAACTCTAGATTGCCCCGTGATTTTATGGCATTTGTTACCCATATGTTGTTACATTTTTGGGGTATGGCATTCCTAAGACCTTCTTAACCCTTCAACAAGATGAGCTCAGGCTTGATTGGTTTGTTCATGTCCTAGGTAACGACCACAAAAATACCATCATCAATCATTCCTTCCTTATTTAGATATTTGCTTCTCTAATCACGGTTCACACCATAAGATGAAATTAAACCTTCTAAGCTTGTTACCATGGAGTTTAACATCTTGCCCTAGAACGTGAGTAATGGTTGTCATTAGGGTTCCTTTTCTGGCTGAAATTCGCCATAGCTTCTCTCACAAGAGGCTGCAATGGTGCCTTTCTATTACTATGATGGTACATGAACACATCGTCTGATATAAAATACTCATCTCCCTGAAAAACAACGATACAATCAAATCCGAAATTACCTAAAAAGTTGTTTTTTCAATCAAAGGCTACAAGATTTTGAGTACTAACTGGTTTGCTTGCTTTCTTCTTGGTCTTAGGGTGCAGGAACTTTTGAGGGATTTGATTCTTGGTGATTCCTTCTCTTCCTCCTTTAGGCATTGGTATCGAAAACTGAAAAATGAAAGGCATAAGAGAGGTAGTAGGAGAATTTTTTTAACTGTGTATCAGGTTAGGGAGTTTAAAGGAAAGAAGGGTTTCTTTTTCAAAGCAGAGTAACAGATTACTCGAAAATAATGAATTGATCATATATAGATGCTGTGTTTAACATAAAACATGGTGGTTTCGGTTAGCTTCTGCTTATGATAAGCACTTACTTTGGTCCTTCGAAGTGCAATACGAGGTTTACATGCAGCTACGATGGTGCCATTCTCGCCTATCGTAACTGCTACCTTGCGTAGAGTCCCGCCATTCCCGCACTTGGGACAGAATTTTGTTCCAATTTCAGGAGTTACTGTGTAGCAAGCATGACATTTCAAGATCCACCTGAAGATGCAAATGCAATCAAGTGTAAGAATTGTATTTTTCTCATTAGCTAATGTCAATGAGCATGCCAAAGAAAAGTGACAGACGTTTGAAAAAAAGAAGAAGGAAGATCTGATTCATAGTGTACCTGTTCAGTTCGCGAATTTGCATTCCTCCTGGAGCAAGCAAACGCAAACCCATTTGAAGGATAACATTTTGCATTGCATAGTCAGCGGTTATACAAGCTACACTAGACTCAAAGAAGGCTCTCAACGAACAACTCTGCTCGCTGCTACCATCATCTGCAATCGATGATGCCTCAAAGGTATCCCCAGCCTCACTAGCAATCTCCACATTCTCGAAGCCTTGAGTTGCAACATCCATCCCCTCAGCTCCGACTTCAACATCATGATCGATATCATCCTCACCATTAATTAAAGTTGCTTCAACATTCATCTCTTCAGGCTCTTCTTAGAGAACCTTTAATGAGAATTCCTCCAACCTCATATCTTTTAGTATGGACTCATCATTCTTTCCGCCATCTCTTGCACATCTTTCAGTCGCATCCTTAGACATCTGATTGAACTGTGTGTCCTCAATCAAGTTTCCAGCTTTGTCAGCTTCTTGATCTTCCTGAATTTCTTGTTCAGCCAAGGCAACAGATTGCTCCCACTTTGCCTTTCTTCTAAGAAACCTACTGTGAGTACTTCTACTAACCGCAGGTCTCCAATCACCAGTATCTTCATCGTCATATTCGCCCTGCGATGCATCTATTCCTTCCACTATCATCTTACCCTCAAGCTTCACCTCTGTTTTCTTAGGCGGATATCAGCTTATTCCTCCTCCCACCTTCTTCTTGATGCTCCGTAAGAGAGACAACAGAACTATTATCTATGGGATGATATTCACGTTACGGTCTTTAAGCGGAAAGATTTCGGAGTTAGAATTACATTTTTCCAATGCTTCCCACTCCTCTAACTTAGCCACATTGGAAGAGCTCCAACGAGGCAATTCCTTCTCAGGTAATCTCTTTACACTACGAGTTTGAATCGGTGGAGGAACATCTCTGAGATTTTTGGTCCCATGAACCTGAGCCTCGAGAGTGTATGTCAAAGCAATCAGTTTGAGATCAACATCAGAGCGAGTTTGCAAATTTAACAACTGCACATAAGAGAATCAAATGGATGTACCTTTAGTGAGAGATTCAGGAGAAGGTTCCATGATCGTGAAGGGGATGGTGAAGGCGAGAAGACGGCGTGAAGCAAGGTCACGAATCTCGGAGATTACTTCAGGTACCGTTACGAATTTGTCAGCGAAGTTGGTTAAGCTCTGGCCTCCTTCAATGACGGCGTTTGCGTCAACAACCGCCATAGATATTCCCTTTGTGGATTTACAGTTTCCGACCATCCCGAAAAATCGTCGCCGGAGCTCCGACGGTGGCCGGAGGCTTTGAAAGAGGAACTTTCTTTACCATGGAACTCCACGTCATGGTCGGATTCGGATCCATGGTTGGCGTTGTTTCACTTCTTTCAAATGGGCTTCACGCAGGCCCAGATAAATGGGCATGTATGGATAAAATTAGCACCCTTTTATTTACTGGATTAAAGAAACACATCATTTGTGTCTGATCCAAAGAAAATGATCTCACATTTGTACCTTATTTCAGTTCTCAGATAAAAAAAATTCTAATTTTGACCTTTGAATACCAATCATATCTTTGAAAACTTGATCATATAAATTTTAAAAACTATTAGCTCTGAGTAAACCTTACAAATATAAATTATCGAATATATGAAAGCTAATACCACAACAGTTAACTGTATATATAGGGGACGACTTATACAATTATTTAGGAAATCGATATAAATGGAGCTTTAGCAAAAATAAAAATAAATGGGTTAAAGTTGTACCATAGGAAGAGCAAACACACAAGAAAAGCAAGTTTGAAGGTCTGATCTTTTGGTCAAATGACTCTATGCTTTTGCGTGTAGTTGTTGGGCCCGGACCTGCGGCCCAACAATCTGAGCAGATCGCAAATCACCAAAGGAAGCAGAAGTCCAGCGATTTCGGGGGAAGCCCAGCGGGCT